TCACAAACTTATTCCAAACATTAATCGAGAATTCCTTCCAATACACATTAAAAAAAAAAAAAAATGGACATATATATATATATATATATATATCAAATTTCTTAACATTACAGTATGGTAAAATGCATTTCATTCTTAGCTGATTTATTACAGCTACAATTTTAAGCTTCACAGATTTCAATGACAACAACTATTAAGTATCTTAAAACATTAATAAATAAACCTATCATCAGGAGACTACTTGAAAACAAATAAAATTTTATTGTTTACATACATAATAATGAACTGCTTGACTTAACTCCTGCTTTAAACTTTTGACTGAATGCTGTATTTGACTTTTGCAATCACAACATTGCTTAAGAATTAATCACTGTAATACAAACAATCTCAAAAAGCTTAAGATTTTTATTTATTTAATTTCTGCATGAAACTTACATGCATTAAATTTGTTCACCCTTAGATTAACCTGTTTTAAATGCTATTTTAAATCCATTATTTTAGGGTATCTATTCTTTATTGAAGTATAACTTATCACTCTGAAAAGGGCTTAGTTCTTTAACAAATACTCCTAGATACGAGCATTCTTTTCTGTGGCATGATGCATCTAATCTCCAAAATTAATGTTAAAGAAATACTGTAAAACACCTAATAATTATATTAAGCTTTATTAAATACATACTTTTATTTCAACACATATTAAAAACTGTGTATGTAAAACTATACTGCCACTGTAACAGTGTGCAAAATATATCATGATGTGGAAAACAGTTTTTGTTTGCAGGTGTGCCAAGTAAAAGCTGTGGAAAATTTCTCAACTTTTGTTTGTGACATAATATTTCTACACGAATCAAATGTTACTGCAATCAAATCATGGCTGAAGAGTCCAAGTATACTACTTGAGTAGAAGCACTCTTGTTTGGTAGGTTTTCAAAAACCTTCCACTTGAGAGATAACATTTCTGCACTGTCAAATAAAATAATGTCACCACCAGATGTAAGATAAAGTCAAGACTACTCTTTTATGTTCTTTTTCTTGGATAATAATAATAATAACAATGATATCTTATCTACAAAAGCATGTAAATAATTACATAAGCAAGTAATGCAAGAGAAAATGTTCTCACAGTAAAGAAAATCTGACTTGTGTGGCACAGTAGAGAAAATCTGACTTGTGTGGCACAGTAGAGAAAATCTGACTTGTGTGGCACAGTAGAGAAAATCTGACTTGTGTGGCACAGTAGAGAAAATCTGACATATATAACACAGTAAAGAAAAACTCCTGATGTATGTTGTACAGTAAAGAAACATTTCAGATTCATGTTTTCTATTTACAGAAAAGCTTATGATACAGGTAGCATGGTACAGAAAAGCTCCTAGCTGATGTATGAAGCATGGTAAAAAAAATTACTCCAGATGTATGGAACACATTAAACAACAACTCCAGATGAACGTAACACATTAAACAACAACTCCAGATGAACGTAACACATTAAACAACAACTCCAGATGAACGTAACACGGTAAACAACAACTCCAGATGTATGGAACACGGTAAACAACAACTCCAGATGTATGGAACACGGTAAACAACAACTCCAGATGTATGGAACACGGTAAACAACAACTCCAGATGTATGGAACACGGTAAACAACAACTCCAGATGTACGGAACACTGTAAACAATAACTCCAGATGTATGGAACATGGTAGAGAAACATTTCAGACAAAGTAATGGAAAAAGCTCTCTTATGATTATCAACACAAAAAAAAACTTATGATTATTCAAAGTTATTATTAAAATATCAAATATTAAAATGCATATAATACACTGGATATGTTAAGCTACAGTAAAATGTTTATTATGTCAAAACAAATGCATAAATGCTTTCTTAATTATGTCTTTTGTAACCTATAATTATTTCAAAACAAATCAACCACTAAATTTTCTATACATTTGTTATGATAGCTATGAAAAACTACTTAAGTTTTAACTACTATACTAATGCTTATAATCATTTGTAATCTAGCACTGTATCCTGTTAGCTTTTATAAATGTTAACTAAACTTGATGACTTTTCTTCTGAGATTATCATTTTAGGGGACAAAATATCCAGGTTTGTATCACAATTTACAAATCAAGACAACCCCAGTTGCAAATTCTTCCTTTCTCTTGTATGTTATCTTTGAGACTTCTCACAACACAGTGAAAGTGCCATAATGTTTCAGTTTGATATACCAAAGCTGACGTTCATTTCTTGAATATTTCCGCCAAACAACACATACAGTATTTTCACACTTAGTCATGAGCATATCATGGATTGTTAGCTACAATTTTATGCTACACTAATTGGTATAAAATAAACAAAAAGTAGTTTAATTGAATCTGGAATGTAACTCACTAAAAACCTCGTGACATGTGCAGTTGTAAAGAAAGTGTCATTTAGTGGATGTCTTTACAAAGGGTTAAGACTTTTAAATGATGAATGTTAAAAAAACCAAGCACTTTTTGCTAATTGCTAATTAAATTCAATACTCATTAGCAGTTTCTGCTTATCAAATCCACCAAACTATTTTGTCCCCTGCATTTATGTCAACATCCAGGAAAGAAAACAGTGATTTAGTGCAATGTCCATATATTCAGGTTAGAGAGACATAAGATGATAAACATTTGTGCCATCTGATTTTATTTTTATGCTGTAGTACAGTAATCCTGAATTCGTCACACAGTCTTGTTGCACAGCATCAGTTGCATCACCCTCTGATAAGCCACTCCAAAGATACACACAGCATCCCTGCAAGTCCTTTGAGCTCATTATCAATAGGTCAGCAATGCAGTACAGAAATAGAAGATTAGCACCTTAATCTCTTCACCTGGAACCTAAATCATGCACTGCAGGTGGAATTTTAGGTGATTT